GATGCCATCAGGATCATCTCAATTTTGCTGTGATCAATGGCCACAATGATGGATCCTGATTCATCATGCCTCCTGATGTCCACTTTTAGTCTGGTTCTGAGCTTGGCTGTGCGACTCTACGGCCAATCATACATCAATGGCATGATGCCCACAGAGGTTCAATAAGCTCATGTGCTTGGGGCCTGGGTGCTTAGCAGCCACATGAGAAGCCAAAGGAAGACCAGCAGAAGATCTGCCCCTCAACCACAGAATGAAGAAGAAGGAAAGATGAATATGCCCTTGTTGTAAGCCACTACATGTTGGGGTGACTTGTTACACAGCAATAGCTGACTGAGTATTAGCTTTGTTCCTTCCAGGTGGGCTGACTGGGAGTCTGGAGGTATGGTGGCTGGTAGATCTGTTTGTCATCGTTGGACACTTTTGTCTGTATGCTGGTAGAAAATTCCTGGGGAATACTTCTGGTCACTTATGCTATGGCCACAGTGCATCAAGGTCTATTCTCTAGGGCTAGGACAACAGGAATCTGCGTTTGACCCCCCTAGTTTTGTTCCTGCCGCTGAGGTCAGGAAGTGAAGCTCTCCAGAGAAGAATAAGCCAGGGTGGAGAGAAGTTTGGCAGAAAAGCAGACATCTATCACCAGGTATCTGTGCCCTGACTCATGGCGGAATGGCTTCTGGAATTCATGAGTTGTCCTACCTTCTGGAACAGGATGAGACTTTCCAGGAACTCTCTTATCAGGTACTTATGCAATCGGCGTTCTCCTCCACTTGGAAAAGTGCACATCTCTGTATGCCCTTTAGGACTTTCAATCATTTATCATTTTCTTTATTCTCAGTGTTTCTTGGATATTCACAAGGAAATTGCTCCTCTTTGAAGTATTACCTTCTCCTGCCCAGTCACCCTGCTGACCTGGGTAAGAAGGGCAAAGAATTTCCAACACGTTTGCCAAAGCCTGGGACTATCTCTTTAGCTTTCATTTTAGAAACTTCTCTCCTGTTTGTGTCTTATTTCTTCATAGATCCTGTGAATTGAACACATAAACATATACACAAATACATAAGCACACAGGCACACACGCACGTGTGACACTGTCACAGTAATGCAGACACACATAGGCGCACACACAGAATCGAGTGTGGAATGCCTGTGTTGCTGGGGAGTGCGGGCTGCTTGCTCACAGCTAGCAGTCCTTTCCACGATGGCCCCACCAGCCCTGCTCTTTGGGAATGAGCATTTTTCTGCCTGCTAATTGGTACATTCTTTTCCCGATGGACATTCTATCTCGCAGTGCTACACAGCTTACCACTTCACAAACTTGATGCGGGTTAGCTCCTCAATCAAAACTGGTCCTGTGGGAGAGGTATGAATGCCTCCACTTTTGTGTGCAAAGCAAACACGTTTCAGTGCGCCGAAGTCAAGTGGTGAACCCCTCTGTTGTCTTCTGGACACTTCAAATTCAAGTACAAACCTGAGCTCACCATAACTTCCTCAACCCCGTATCTTGTTTCCTGATGGTTCCTGTTTACCATACTTATCCGGTTGCTTCCGCTCCAAGCTGGCCTGGCAGGTTCTCCTTCTCCCTCAGCCCCGCATGGGTCTAGCAGCAAGCCGGGTGGATGCCGCCTTCAACAGGTGTCTCACACAGGCCCAGGTCCCTTCTTCTGCTGCCTCTACCCTACAGCACCACCTCCTGCTATTGAAGCCGCTCCCTAAGTAGCCTCCCTACTCCCACGCCCCTCTCCATCGTTCTCTATACAGCAACACAAATGAACTTTTCAGACAGGGTGTAAGCTTAGTGAAGCCTCCCCTCTGCATAAACTCTCATGCCCTCCCTCTGCTCCATGAAAGCTCCAGTCCTTACCATGGCCCCAGAGGTCCCCTGTGGTCTTGTCCCAAATCCATTGCTGGCCTCTTCACTCCATCGCTTTTGTTCACAAGGGAGTGAAAATTCCCTTCCAGGTCTTTCCACCTGCAGTTCCTGGGGACTTCTGTCCCAGCCCTCTGGCTCATGCACTCCTCTCTCTCCTCTTACAGTTCACTTCCACGCCTCATTCTCAGAGGCCTCACTTAGCCTTGTGCCCCCAGAGAGGTTTCATGCCTCCCCAGCGTGTTTCCAGAATTGCAGGTGCGCTTTCTCTTCGGGTGCAAGGCCCAGCCTGCTTTGCCCCCACTGTTCTGTGTGCAGTCTGTGCTCAGTGAGCCTGGAATGAATGATGGGTTCAAAACCCAGAAATGATGGCCGGCTTAGATTACACAAGAGGCAGCCCCCAGGAAGGCAGTGGCTCAGAGGAGAAGGATGCCAGCCTGCATGACCAGAAGGACAAGACCTAATCTCCTCCCTGGTCTCCTAGATTTCTCTCAATCCAGAGCAGCTGCAGGAGGGAAGGAATGTGGTGACATAAGGCAAGGTGTGTAGAGAGACTGAAGACCTGCTTCAACGGCATGAAGGGGTGTTTCTGGTTGGAGGCCAGTCATGATTTTCAGCAGGAAAAGGCGGTATGTGCTAACCCACTAATGCGCTTATATCCCCTGATGCTGACCCTGATGGCACACCAGGTTGCCTCTATTTTCCACTTTACTAGAGTGTTTGGGATCGTTTAAACAGTCCACGCGACATTAACCAAGAGTACACTAAGTGGAAGTCACATCCTTCTCATTTCAACCAAGGTGTCAGCCGTCCCCCTTTCCTTTCAGAGTGTAGGAACAGACTGTGGACCTCAGTTCCCTGCATCGTGAATTAAGGGGTGTCACTGGGTGGTCTGCACGCTGCTTCCTCTCCCACATTCTGGGCTTCTTCAGATTTTCAGCAGGCTGAGACATTTGCCCCTCAGGCATGACATGGGCTCTGCAAGACTTCCACCGTTTGCAGCTCCGTGGATGAAATTCTTCCATGATGACTTCCAGACAACAATAGCACATTGTTTCTGCCCTCCTCAAGCCGCTCGAGTTTCCTGATTTTCTCTGGAGTCCTTTGTTGTTGCTGTTGAAATAGTTGGTAATTTATCATTTTCCCTCTTTCCTCTTATCCTCCAGATATCTCCTTTCTCAGTAAAACATTACTGGAGCAGTTGCCAGGAAATCCTGCTTGGAGTGCGGCCACTTCCTGGCCCTAGGAGAAATGGGGTCAAGTTTATCATTCAGTTTTCCAAGCCCTTCTGCAATCTTCCTTCAGGAAAGGAGGTCAAACCATTTCCTCAGTGCTGGCCTTAGGTTTTCTGGTCCTCATAAGGAGAAGACTAGTCTAAAACCGTTCAAACGCTGACTGTGCCGCCTCTTAATGAAGAGCCTTTATCCTTTCCTTGAGCACACATCCGCATCTCTATTTTAGACAGAGGTTCTAGTCCCATGGGCGATTACCAGGAAACAACGATTTTGTCTTCCATGTTAATGGTGTAAGCTTATGTCAAGCTACATTTTCTTAAGGTGGGATTTAATATTCTATGCTAGAAAATCCAATGCTAAAATAACAACTTGTAGCTCTCCCCCAGGTCTGAAATCAGACATGGCTTCCCTAATTCCTGGGAGTTTGTGTGGCATCACCAAGAAAGGAAGACTACGGGAATCACAAAAACAAGTTTAGTAAGGCAGGACCTTGAACTTAACACACAAACCCTGTAAATCCTGATCAGGAAAATGCAGCACGGATTAACCTTCAGCACAGGTTTACCAGCCCAGGAGAACTCAGCACGCAGGGAGCAGCGGGCCCGGAGCAGCTGTGGCTGAGATCTGCGTGTGTAAGTCACTGCTACAAAGAGGCGGTCACTGTGCTCCTCGTGTAAGTGTTCAGTAAATATCAGTGAACTGTAATCTTTCTGATACTAACAAACCATATACTTTGTCTCCATAGATTGATTATGTGAAAGAGCAGCATTCTAGAACTTTTTTTTTTTTTTTTTTTTTTTTTTTGAGACGGAGTTTCGCTCTTGTTACCCAGGCTGGAGTGCAATGGCGCGATCTCAGCTCACCGCAACCTCCGTCTCCTGGGTTCAGGCAATTCTCCTGCCTCAGCCTCCTGAGTAGCTGGGACTACAGGCGTGCGCCACCATGCCCAGCTAATTTTTGTATTTTTAGTAGAGACAGGGTTTCACCATGTTGACCAGGATGGTCTCGATCTCTTGACCTCGTGATCCACCCGCCTCGGCCTCCCAAAGTGCTGGGATTACAGGCTTGAGCCACCGCGCCCGGCCAGCATTCTAGAACTCTTGAGGGCTCCAGCCGGAAGGTGGGATTTCTCACGCGTCTGCCAGCTCTTGCCGCTGCCCTCTGTTGCTGAGTGTCTGCTGACTATTGTTGAATGCAGTCTTGTTCCTGGCATCCCCTGACAGCATCTGCAGGAGACACACTTAATTTTCCAGGAACCTGGACATTTCTCAATCCATACAAAATTCTTCTGAAAAGATCCGGAGTCATTTGCCCTTCCCACTGGTTTTTTTCATTTGGTGTGTTTGTTTTCTCCTCACCTCCAATTTGGCGTTTATTATGTTGTTGGTGGTGCTGTTCCTTCTTCAGGTTAATGAAGTTCCCTCAACATCTGACTGGTAGCAATGTCCTCCCTTCCATGTCTAACATCTTCTTGTCCTTTTAGAGGTAGGGGAACTTAGGACCTTTGGGACTGAACACCATGGATTCAGATTTTTTTCCTTGGACCTGCTTCCTGGGAAGAACCTTACTCTTTGAAATCCTTATCTCTGGTTATTGCTCATCTCATTCTCCTTTACCCCCTCCACACCAAGTCACATCTCCCATTGCAGTCATGGCATGTTGGGGTACTAGCTTCTTGTGGAGCCGCTGGACCCTGGCCACCTGGAAGTGAACTGGCAAGACACCCATGTCTATATGTGGGACTGGGGGCCTCTCTTAACTCCACCTCCAAGTGAAGAATGCCGGCATGATTGTTTGCTCTGCCTGGGTCAACTGCTTCCTCTGCAGTTCCTCCAGATCCCTGGCACCCAAGTGGAATGGGCATGTGTCTACCCCGTCCTCAGTGGACTAGCTGAAGGTCCCGGTCTTATAACCTAGCTTCGGCAGCGCCCTCCCCCAAGGGCAGACCGCTGCTTTACTCTACGTTACACTGCTCCAGATGGTCCTCCCCCGCTTATGAACAAGACACCCACCTGGACTGAGATCTCTGTTTCCCAGATGAGTCTGCAAAACTTGACTTTAAACGCCACCTCCAATTTTTCCCAAGAGTTTTAAATTTATTTTTATTTTTATTTTTTCCCCCTGAAATGATCCTGGTTTGCTCTCCTCCCTAATGTGGAAAATTGAATCGTTGTTCTCAATTCTTCACTCCCTTCCTAGTCCTTTATCTTGTAATTTTGCAGTATCCTCTAGTGATGCCAGCCTTGGCAATGTGACTTGCCTTCACAAATAGAATGTAGATGTAAGTGACATTGTGGCGGTTTTGAACCTAAGCTTTAAGAGGCAGGAGATGTTTCTGCTAGCTAGTCGTGTGCTCCTCTGGGAGCCTATGCTTGAGAAAAACATACCTTATGAAGCTACTGCCCCTTCACCCTGGACCCCATAATGAGGACATAAGCGAGTCCGAAATTGACCAGAAACCCAAATTTACCCTGACCCTGAAAATTCCAGCCTCCATCAGCCAAACCTCAGCCAACGTTCTGGCCTGTGAACATAAAAGTGTTTCTTGTTAGAAGCCACTGAGATTGAGAGGTTGTTTGTTACGAAGATAACTTGTACAGAAAAGCACCCAGTGACAGTTTATGATGATAACATTTGATAGAACAGGTGCCACATTAATTCTGACCACAGCCTGATGTTTTAAAAATATTGCCTACTTTTATGCTTTCTGAATGGAGAAACGGAACATGGGTTATCTTTTACTTTCATGTTGAAGTTTTACTTACTTTATAAGGAAAAAAGGGAAAGGGAGATTAAATTTCTTTTAGTTGCCTCCATTTACCCTTGAATTCTTATCCTTTATATTTTGCACAGCTAGTTGAGAAAACCCCTTATAAGCCTTCCTTCTTGTCTGAAGAGCAATGCGTAGTTTTTAAAGGATTTGGGCTGCTTTGATCACCAGTAACACAATGGGATGTAGTCCAGTAATCCCAGACCTGGCTGCTCATTATACTTTAACTGCTGAGAGAACGATTTAGAAAAATATTATGGTAAAATATATGTAACATAAATTTTGCAATCTTAAGCATTTTAAGTGTACAGTTCAATGCTGTAAAGGATACAGGCAATCTCCAGAACCGTTTCACCTTGCAAAACTGACGTGTGTAACCACCGAACGGCACCCATTCCCCCTCTCTCCCAGACTCTGGCAACCACCATTCTATATTTTGGCTCTATGAAATTGACTATTCTGGGTACCTCATATAAGTCGAGCCACATAGTATTGGTTCTTTTGCAACTAACATTTTACTTAGCATAATGTCCGCAAAGTTCATCTAGGTTGTGGCATGTGTCAGAACTTTCTTCCTTTTAAAGCCTGGATACTATTCTATGTATGAAGACGCTGCATTTGGTTTTCCCACTCCATCTGTCGATGAACACTTGGGTTGCTCACACCTCTTAGCTATTGTGACTCACGCTGTGAACACAGGTGTACAAATATCTCTTCAACATGCCATTTTCAATTTCCTGGGATACATACTCAGAAGTAGGATTACTACCTCAAATGGTCACTCTATTTTTTGTTTTTTCTGAGGAATTACATCCTGTTTTTCACCATGCCTGCACCACTTTGCATTCTCACTTAGTGTGCGCAAGGGTTACAATCACCCACATCCTTCCCAACACTTGCTGTTTTCACCGTATTGTCTTTCCACTCTGTGGATCGTGTCCTTTGATGTAGAGAAGTTTTTATTTTTGATGTAGTCCAATTTGTCTACTTTTTCTTTTGTTGCCTGTGCTTTGGGGATTATATTCAAGAAGTCATTGCTAAATTTAATGCCATGTGGCTTTCCTCCTATGTTTTCTTCTAAGAGTTTTATCGTTTTACCTCTTATGTTTAGGCCCTTGATCTATTTTGAGTTAATTTTTGTGTAGGTGTAAGATAAGGGTCCAGCTTCATTCTTTGGCATGTGGATATGCAGCTTTCCCTACACCATTTGTTGAAAAGTAGTTTTCTACCTTTTTAAAACTGTAGAATCCATACCCCCCCCCGTAAGCCTGTGGTTGATGTTTGCTATCCTGCCTGTCTCTCCCTAGATTCACCTCTGCTGCCACAGATGGCATGTCTGACTTCAAACACCTGCAGACCTTGGCCTGGAAGCTTCTCTGGCCTTGGGAGCAGATTTGGCTTATGAGCAGTGAAGCCAGTGGTGCCAAGGCTCAGCGCCCCCAGAGACATCATCCAATCATTGATGGAGTGGAATTGGTGGAAAGCTCCCCAGTTTCCTGCCCTTCAGAATGGGCCAACTGTGAGACATGTCCTTTACTGTCTCCCAGAATTCTCTAGCAAGATTAGTCTCAGTTGCCTAAAGCAGTAACTTGCTCAATAAAAAAGGAAAATACATCAAAATATTTGCTGATGTATTTTCTTTTTTTATTCAATTTTCCTACTCCCTCCCTGGTGCTTCCTGGAATCACCTCCCAATAAACCACTTGCACTCATATCTTTTCATTTAAAGGTCTGCTTCCTGGTAAGCCCAGCCAATGACACCTCCTGAACCAGAATCTCTGGTGCAGGGGATGGGATTGTACACAGACTGGCATTTTGGAACCGCTGATGTGGTTGGTGAATAGACTATGTCACAGGATCTGTATCGACATCAAACCTCAGCAGTGCTGTATGCTGGTAGCTCGGTCTGAAGTAAATTACATAATTCCTTGAGCTGCATTTAAGTGAGGACAATAACTCCTCTGAAAGGTTGTCGAGAAGATACAGAGAGTCCTGGCACACAGTAGGCAGGCCACAAATGCCAATCATTGTTATGAATCCCCATCACACTACACACAACTCTATTTATTTTATTTTATTTTATTATTTTATTTTTTAGAGTCAAGATCTCTCTGTCACCCAGACTAGAGTGTAGTGGCACGACCATAGTTCACTGAAGCCTAAACCCCGGGGCTTAAATCATCCTCCCACCTCAGCCTCCAGAGTAGTTGGAACTACAGGTCCAACACACCATGGCTGGTTAAGTTTACAAAATGTTTTTAGAGACAGGGTCTTACTGTATTGCCCAGGCTGGTTTCAAATTCCTGGCCTTAAGCTATGCCCTGCCTCAGCCTCCTGAATTTCTGGGATTCACAACTCTTTATTAGTGAAATGTGAGACTCACAGTTGACCACAGAGGCCACTAGCAGATCCAAAACCACGACAGGGAGAGGATGACCTGCTTTGCACAATAGAGTCAATTTTCTGCCGCAGTGAACCTTATTACAAACATAAAATGGCATATTAAGTCAAATAACGAGTCCATTTGGTTCGTTCAAACCAGTATTCTGTCTCCAAAAAAATCATGAAGAAATGCCCAGTGAGGAAACCTGATACCGCTTCTTCAAGGCATCTTTCTCTGCCTCCCCCGCCCCAGCGTGTCTCATGAAACAAGCTTCTCCCATCTCATGGATGAGGGGGAATCCTCAATGTCTTCATTCTTCTCTCATCCTCTTTTCAAAGCACCTGCTTCCCCTGAGCACCTCCTCTTCTGAAGGTTGTTCTCATTTTATTGCTCCAGCTCCTCTCTTTTGCAAATGTTACCCTTCTTCTTGGTAGCCTAAGGGCTGTGGAAAAACCACTGTTCATCAGTGTGTGTAGCGACCTCCTCCCAGAGACTCCTCCTCAGAGCTGCTCATGCTCCCTCCTCATCCCGAGCTGTGTCTAGCCCTATGTACACTCCTTAAAAGAATGCTTGGTATTCCCAGTCCTTCTCCATCCAAGTTTTCCCCTAAAAGAAACCACCTTCAGGATCTGAACACCTAAGCTCTAGCTCTTAAAACGCAAGTTCCATTCAGGTCCCACAAGCATCCTAAAATACCATAATCTGGCAAAATGCAAGGTCATATTTATATTTTCCATGCCTCTTTAACCACAGATGGACTTTATCTTAAACTATTATTTCAAATATACTCAATTTCTCTCTTTCCCTCAACCTATGGAATCATCATTTTCTCCTTTCCTTTATTTGGTTATCTACAAATGTCACAAGTCTTTATTTTTGCTTCCTCCCTTTTATCAAACCATTCCCTTCTCTGTACAAATAAAAACAAGCAAACAAGCATTCAACTGGCTAAAAAAGCAAGCCCTGAGTCAGCCTGTTTTCTCAGCAATACTAGGCTCTGTCCCAAGCTGGATGGAGGCCTGACGGAATCTACAAGCCAAAAGCCTCTTTCCCTCTTCCCCTTGTCTCTTGTCTTCCTTCCCCAAGCTTCTTCCTGGGAAAGAACAGTTTTCCCTGACCTCCTAAGAGGGACATTCCAGCAGAGGTTTGCATACCTGGGATTCCTCTCTTCTCTAGCTTTGGCCTAGGGGCCTGACTTTGTTTTCAAAGTTTGGATTTTTATACAACTTGGAGCCAATAAACAAAATTCTACTGAGGTTGTACCTGCACAGAAGTACATCACTTTTCGTTTTGCTTTGTTTTGTTTTCAGCAGCTGGAGAACAGGCAAGTTGTGTTTTAGGCCTTTAATCTGAAGTTATGAATTACAAGGTTTTAGGAATGTGATCTTCAAAACACAGCTTGTGTTGAGTTTTAAATGAGATTTATGCTAAACCGTGTTTGGGCGCCAGACATGGCATATTGATTTGCAAACCCCAATCTCTGCATGCTTACAGTGGCTAGAAAAGAAGCTCCAGCTTCGAGGCAGTTCCGTAAATTGTAAGCTTATTTTCAGAAGGTAGAGACTCATCTGTCCAGCTCGGGGACAATGACTAACGTGAACCCTGTCCCAGGGGAGCTCAAATCCTAAAGTGAGATGGCTGAGAAAATGAGAAGCAGCGTTGTCAACAGCAGTAAAATGTCATGGTGCCATGCACACCAGCGCGAACTGCATTCGCTTTTCGGTCCTCCATTCCCCCTGTCATCCCAGGTCTTTCTGTGCTTCAGAAATTCATCTGGACAGCTTCAGAGCTCGTCTCTGCTCCTGCTCCCACTGCCCTGTTTTGCTCTATCTGAGATAGCTTTGCCACTCACGAATTAAAAATGTGCTCCCAGATTCTCTTATCTGAAGTTTACTGGTTATTGTAGTTGGAGACTGCACACGAGGTCCCACTGTCATAAATTCCTTAGTCTATCAGAGATTCCTAGTCTGTCATAAATTCCTTAGTCTATCCAGATCAGGCAAGTCTGGATACCCCTGTTGCTCCTTCAGCACATAACCCCTCAGCGACCTACACACAGCTCACTGGGACTCAAGAGAAGCTTCCATATTCATTGAAGCACCATCATGGTTACTGACTGCTACACAATAAATACCTTCAAATTTAGCAACTTAAAACAGCCGTTTTCTTTTGCTTGTAATTTGCGGGTTAAGGATTTGGGGAGGGCTTGACTGGGAAGTTCTTGCTTGTAATCTCTCAAGCACTCAGGCTTCAGTAACCTGGAGGCTCCTCCAGGCTGGATGTCCAAGGTGGTTCACCTGGCTGGCAGGTGATGCTGACTGTTGGCTGGAGCTCAGCTATGGCTCCTGACCAGAGCCCTGCACACCCACAGGTGCCTCTCCACAAGGCCGGGCTTCTCACAGCATGGAGGCTGCTTCCACATGGAAGTACCCCAAAGGCATGTCCAAATAGTCAGTGTTCCAAAAGACCAAGGCGGAAGCTGCAGGGTGGATCCCCTGGCCTTGGAAGCTGCTAAGAATCATTTACACCACAAATGACTCAATGAGGACCAGCAGATTTGAGGGGAGGGGACACGGACCCCACCTCTCCATGGAGGAATGTTCTAGAATTTGCACCATCTCTCATCCATGGCATGACCAGCAGCTTACTCCAACCTGTTTGCACTGCAGAAGCCAATCGGAGTTAGCCATTCAAGGTACTGGGGAAGACCCCTCCAAGAGCAGGGAGAGGAGGTGTCCCTGCCCTCCTGGAGGAAAGGGCTCAGCGTGGTGGAATGAGGAGGTTTGGATCACAAAGATGAAAGCTCAAGGTGCAGTTCTTCCACCAACTCTCTGTGTGGCCTCAAACAAATACTTTACCTTCTCTGACCCCCAGTCTCCTCATCTGTAAAAAATAGGGATAAAGCCACTCTTGCAGTTTGTTGTGAAAATTAAATGGAGTTAAATGAGAAGATGTATAAAATAAAGCTTCCGGCGACCAGTAGCTGGCACGCAGTCCTAGGTCAATCACATCATCCTGACAAGTTAGGAGCTAGCATCAAGCAGGACCTGGGAGGGACCATGCAACTGGGGAAAACAGCTTTGCCTTTTCCAAGTCACAGTCAGAGGAGGGGGGACAAGGCAGAGCTCTCTGTCTCTCTGCCTGCCCCATTCCTCCTCACTTTCCCTCATTCTCTTTCATTCTTTCCCTGTCCTGAATGTGCACACTCCTTCTGTTTTAAGCTGGCTCATTTGGAATCCCACCTGCTTCCCTTGGGAAGCCCCAGGTCACTCCTTCCTCAGTGTTTTCCTGTGGCTTCCAAAGCATGCTCCCCAAATTTGGCCGGGGCCAATAGCACATGCCTGGCTAGGAACTGCCACCCACATGGGTTTCAGTTGGAATCCAGTTAGCACACTCTCTCTGGGGCTTTGCTGCCCACATGGGTTTCACGTGGTGTCTGGTCAATAGCACAGCCTCGCTGGGGCTTTGCCATCTACTTGGATTTCAGGTGGTGTCTGGTCAATAGAAGAAGCCTGACTGGAGCTTTGCCAGCCGTATGGATTTCACGTGGTGTCTGGCCTTAGGAAGAGAAGAGGCTGCGTGCTCTAATCTTCACTAAGCTCCTGTTGTTTGGAGCCACAGCCTGTTTTCTGTTGCTGTCCGAGATGAAAGGCACCCCTGCAACACTAGTATTTTTCTTTCTGAATGCAACAGCTCTTTCTGCTTCTTTCAAAGAGGAACCAGGACATTACAGTCTTAGCAATTTGGTCCCCAGATTACCTGGATATATTCCTTAACCACCAACATGGGTGTCCCAGTTACAGTGAAATATTACCTTTTTCAAGCTCTCCCCCAGATTGAAGACAGGGAGCTTCGTTTATCCCACCTCACCAGGACTCGAAACAAACTCTCCCCAACGTTTCCAATTAGTCTTGTTCCCAGCACATCCTGCCACATACGTGTCCCTTAAAGGGTCTCATTTTCAGTTTGAGAACAGTGAGCTGCCTGAGACCAAACAAACATGCCATGTTTCAGCAGCCTGGGGCCAGGCCTCCTTTTTAGGACATCATTAGGTCCACCATCAGGGCAGAGGCCCAGAACAGCCACCACCCCAAGAAAGTCAGAGGAAAACTACCAACGTTACGGAAATACAATAGCTACTTGCATTTCTGTCCTCCACCTCCCACCTCAGGCACGTGCAAGATCCGTTTTCCTTTTTGAAAATGATCTGCAACTTACAGCATTCTTGAGACTATCAGTTCTTTTGTTTCACTTGTGTCTTTTTCCAAATATAGTCCTGAGGGCAGAACATCTGTCAACAACTTTTCTACAGCCTAAATCCTTTCCTT